GGAAACAGAGAACTATATCTTTACAGCCAATTATTCCAAAACTGGGCAACTTATAACAAAGTATCTTTAAGGATGAAACAAACTACAGGCTAAATGCAAAAAGATGACCCGTCACTTTAAACTGGATACCAGAGATCAGCAATTAGCAGTTTTAAGCTAAAATCTCTGTTCCCAGCATTTCTTTCACTTGCATGTGTTATAAGGCTTTAAGAGTAAAGCCTTAATGCCACATCACTCCGTGTGCCTGAGTGAAAGCACAGGCTGTGTTTGTTGTTCTGGAGGCTCAGCGGGTTTAATCGCCCACTCTCGTTCTTTGGGTTTAAATCTGCTTCTTGACCTTTGCACTGCCTCTTTCTCCTTCCTTCTACACCCACAGACACATCCATTCTTTAATAAAAAAGGGGGGAGTGTTATAAATGTCATCAGCTTAAAGTGAAATCATTAAAGGTCACTCATACAAACACTTAGAGCCTCCTGCAACTTGGAGTCAGCTGCTCGGTGGGAAAGGATGAAGAAACAGCTCCTGATGTTCTGCATTCCTTCTGCCTTTTGTTGACTGTCATTTTCTTTATTTAAGTTTCTGTCGTAGCAAATTCAAATACTGATGCACGGTATAGCAGAATACTTTTCTGAATGCGTTTGGGTGGAAGGTTTTAATCTCAGCTCTGATGGCAATGAAGCCAGAGAACGGGGCAGCGAGAAGATCGAGAGGAAGAGTGACTTCCTCTGGAAATGCAGTGACATAGTCTGTGAGTTTTAGACAATGTTTGTACAGTCTGTGCAGCAGAAAGACAAATATCAGACAGGAGCAAGCGAGACTTGAATTATTAACCAGCTGTCTAACCACTGGGGTTGTCATAGCAACCAGGTTTCCTTTCTTTTTCCCTAGATAAGGCATGGCTGTGTTGGATCGCGGGGGTTATCTGAGCAGCTAGAATGCACCCCTAACCAAAGACAAAGCATTTATCAGGCTCTGCGTTACATACGGTGCAGATATGTGCACAGTTACACCATCACGCACACAAAGGACGCACACTTATCTCACCTGGGCTCTGCTTTTGAGAGCTGTCTGGGCTTCGTTCGAGCATACAAACCAACCTTCAGTCCCTTTTTGTTTCAGAGACGTTCTTGCTAACGCTCTGGTGTGTCTGACCCTGAACAGAGGTGCCCAGCTCACCTAAATGTCACACTCTTTAACATACTGTCTATATGAAGAGAGTTCAGGACAGGATGCCATATTTATAGGCTGACCTTTATGTGTTACCCTCCACTGACTGACCTGTAGAGCTGTATGTTCTTTGATCCGCAGGGCTAGATTGTTCTTTTGCTTTGTGAGTACTAAAATACACGACACTGTTGTTGTGGGCCTGATCTCCGACAACATCGAGACGGCCTACCTGGAGGAGATTAGGAACCTGGAGACCTGGT